TCCAATTTATATTAATAAGGTAAAAAACCCCCCTTCCCCCATCATACTTCCCACGGTTATTATTAATACTAAATTTTTATTATTTAAATACTTTTATGGAAGTAACCCCAAAAAAAAAAAAATTCCCCCCCCATTCACACACATACATACCCATAAAACATCAGAGGGGAGTTATAATTTTAATTTGAAAAAGATGTTTTCGGTATTCAAGGTCAAAAAAATTATAATTTTGACAAATTGGGTATATTTAAAAAAAAAACTTTTATTGAAAGGGGGGGAAAATTTTTTTTAAAAAAAAAAAAAAAAAAAAAAAAAATAAATCTGGGTGATATAATAAATTATTATCTATTTTTATAATTTTAATTAGTGGTGCCGAGTATAAAAATAAATCTAAAATGAAAAATGTTAAATTATTTTATGTGGCAAGATGTAATTTGAAAAAAGACTTAACATTTATGGTGAATGAGAAGAAAGAAAAAAAAAAAAAAAAAAAAGAAGGAAAAAAAGTATTTTAATATATGAGGTGATAGATTATATATAGTTTTTGATATGCATTTCTATTTTTTTAGGTGTGAAATATATGTTATAGTTGTGAAACTTGGGTTTTTTTCTTTTTTTAAACTTACAAAATATTAAAACTATATTGTTTAATAAAACAAATGATTTAGTAACCTACAACCACTTTAATTTATTTTTGGATTGATTTAAAAAAAAAAAATAAAAAAATAAATAAATAAAAAATAAATAAATAATAAAAAAAATAAAAAAAAATTTTCGATTAAATATGATGGTTTAAAAAATAACTGATGATGTAATAAGATATTTTATTTTATATTGATGATTTTATAAAGTGGTTTTAATTTAAAATATGTGTTTAAAAAAAAAAAAAAAAAAAAAATTTTATAAAAACCTTTTTTTGGTCAAATATTTGATGCACTGTTAGAAGGTATTCGAAATTAATAATAACAAAAAGAGAATATTTAATAAAAATAATAACAAACCAAAAGGAAAAAAGAATTCACTTTGGTTCATAATTATATTTTTTTAAAAAAAACATTTAAAATTTAAAAAAAAAAAAAAAAAAAAAGAAAAAAAAAAAAAAAAGAAAATAATTATATTATATTATATTATAAAATATAAATATAATTATAATTATTAAAGAACACACTTATTATGTAAAAAATCAACACACTTCCAAAAAAGAACACACTAACAATAATATATCAAATAACAACAACCAACAACAAAATAAATGAAAAAAAAATATAAAATAGTCTAAATGGGAATTATTTCTTTACGGGGCAAAAAAATAAAAAAAAATAAAAAGAGCACACAGGAGAGTTTTAAATGGCTAAGTTAAATATAGATCACAATATTTATTCTTTTGTTGTGTGTTTTTTTTTTTTTAGTTTTTTTTTGTTCTTTATGCTTTATTAATTTTGTAAATTGAAATTAATTTATAATTAATTCACACCACATATATACACACATATACACATACAAACACACAAAAAAAAAAATAAAAAAAAGAAATAAACTTGTTATATTATATTTGTTTTACCCTAATGTATAGTTAATTTATTGGCTAATGTTTTTTATTATTTAAAATTTAAGAATAAAAAGCAAGAATTGAGGAGGATATCAATAAAGAGTCTACTTTTTTTTTTTATTTATTTTTTTTTTATGTGCAAGAAAAATTGTTTTTTTCAAGTGGGCGTGTGTGAATATAAAGTGTGAGTGAGCATGTGCTAAATTAATGTATGGAAGAGTGGTAATATTTATTATCTACACTATAATTTTATAATAAAATTATTTTGTATTTAATTTTATGTGATATTTAAATGTGTTTTTATTTGGATCTGATCTAATTGTGTTATGTATGGAAAAAGAGAAAAAAAAAAAGAAATAATTGATCAAAACAAAACATTTAAGTGTGGTGTTTTATTTAGTTACATATATATACATATGGGCGAGGAGGTGAAATTTTTTTTTTATATAAAATTTAAAAGATTTATAATTACATCAAAAAAAAAAAAAATAATAAAATAGAAAAATAAAATTTTCTTTACCCTGCATGAATGTGTTAATAGGCGGGCGCTTAGGAAATTTTCATATTGGTCATTATTATTATTATTATTAATATTATAATTATTTTATTATTTGATTATTTAATAAAATATATCATTTATCAGATAAAGATTTTTGCCATATGTGCCATTTTATGATGTT